TGCTTCTTGCAGAGGCTCCATGACCAGCCTGGAGTCCAGCCACAGCGGGTTCTCCCAGCTCAGCGCTGCCACCACCTCGTCCAGCCAGTCCCACTCCAGCTCCATGGTCTCCAGGTAGCGCCCAGTGCGCAGAGGGGACGGCCCACCGCCTCGGGCCACCGCCCGCCTGCCCACCCAGCAGCCGCATTGTGCGGACTCCTCTGGCCCTCTAGGTAGCACGTAGCTCTCCAGGTGGCAAACGTAGTCACTGACCCCGAAACAATCTCAACAGGTAGTTTTAACTCTAGCTCAATAGCCATAGGTTTTGTATACAGTGTGCACAAAATCCAACCAGAGCACAAGGGCTCTCTCTTCAAAGAAAAGTAGTTTATATACCAATTAAGAGGTTGACTTTGTCTCAAACGTTGATGCAAAAAATGTTTCCAAGCACCTCCACACCATCCCTTAGTGGATGAACTCCCCACCACCCGTCAGAGGTGACCCACCTTCCTCCACGGAGCAGAAGCTGCCAACCTGTCCCCCGCCCTGCATCCGGCCCTCACCTCCTCCCTGCCGGTGGTCGACGCGGTCCGAGGATTCAGTGACTGCCCGCTAGGCTCCTTTTCCTCTGAGCAGACACCGCTTAATCAGGAGGACTCAGGGAGCCTGTGGGCACCCCGGCCCGGCTCCGGGGCCAGACGGACCCACTGTTGTAAAGTGGGTCTGGGGGGTCAGGGGCTCTCGCGGACTCCCCACAATGCCAGGAAGAACACCGCCATCATTAAACATTATTTTCTCTTTCCTCCTTTCAAACCTTTTGGTCCTTTGAGAGCAGGCTTCCTCTGTCCGTGAACTTGGGCCGAGGGCGTCCTCTCCCTTTTCCTCCCTTCCTACCTGCACGCGTTAGTTCTGAACTCATTCTAGATTGGCCTCCCCTGGGCCCCTCACAGCTTGGTAGCATCAGAGCCCAAATGGTTCTTCTAGTCACTAGAAGGGTACTTCAGAGACAGTGAGTCCCATCTGCCGTTTTGAAACTGTCCTGTGTTCACTGTGTGGCCATGTCGGGACAGCCTGTGGCCTGGGGGAGCCCTGCTTCTTTGTGACAGGAAATTGTGGGCGTGTGTGTGTGTGTGTGTGTGTGTGTGTGTGTGTGTGTGTGTGCGCGCGCATGTGTGCCTGCAGGCATGTGTGTCTCGGGGTGGGTGTGCGTCAGCGGGGGACAGGGCGAGTAGAAACTTAGTTCAAGTAATGAAGGGTTCGATTGCATAGAAGCAGGTCAGATTGTGAGGTTGGTCTGCTTTTTACTTTTTCTTTTTGATTCCAGTTACCAAGCCTGCTCTACCTTTTATTGGCCCTCGTTTTCTTGGCTTGTTATGGGAAAAGCATGTTCTTTGCGAATCTGTCCAGGTGTTGCCTTGGGTCAGTCTCCGTGGTGAATGAAGACGTGTGCCGTGGTGGGTGCGTGGCGGAGACTGTGCTTTTAAGGATCTGGGCCAAAAGCCAGGCGGCCATCGTCAGCGTGCGACGGGCACGGAAACCCTGAGTTGCGTTGTTGTAAACCTGCCCGGGAGGTGTTAGGTGGGTGCCGCGTGGCAGGAGAGCTGTGTGGACGAGCGTGCGCCCGTGGGGGGGTGTCTGCAGGGCTCCGGAGGGGCAGAGCAGCCCTCCCGGGCAGCGATACGCGGTGGCTGCCTGCACGCTGAGGACGTTCCTGGGCGTCTCCCAGGGCTGCTGGCCCGTCCGGAGCACAGCTGTGCGTGTCCTTCACAAGAGAAGCTCACCGTTGGCACCTAAGGGCTTGTTTCCAGAAAGCACAGTAGGGTTAGTTCGTGCATCCGTGCTGCTTCCTGTTTCCAAATTCTCAGGACCTGAAGACGGCCCTGTCTCTCTCCTCTCTCTCTCTCTGTGTCTCAGATGGCGATTTTGCTGACAGCTGCCAAGAAAACACTTCACTCGACAGTCCACATCAGCCCAGGGCCGCTTGTAGAGCTGTCTGAATTGCAGCCACCCCTCCCCCAGTCTGAAGAGCGGCTCTTTTTAGGTTGACTCAGAAGTGGCACTGTCTTATCCCCAAAGAGTTGAATGCATCCTTAAGCGTTCACAGCACATCACTGCACAAATACTTACAGGGTTACTCCTGAGTACCCATCGCCCTGTCCTCCTTGGAAGGGGCTGTGAGGCAGGTAGACTTCGATCCCGCAGTTCATTGTGACTCTACATCAGTGCCCTGCACTCTTTAAAATGCTGCTGTCATTTCACTGTTTTCAGCACTAACGATCCTTTTGGTTTCCCCTCTATTACTAGTGTCTTAATTCACTTTTTTTCCTAATTTCATTATTTACGTATCAAATTCTGTAAATGTTTTGTAAACATATTACCTCACTCTTGGTAATACAATACTGATAGTCTTTAAAAGATTTTTTTATTGTTATCAATAATAAATGTGAACTGTTTAAAAAAAAGAATGTCTTTTTCTTACTGTGAATCGGCAGTCTCCCTTGAAGGGTGTGACGTCCTTAGGAGACTTTAGAGATTGAAGGAAGGGGAGATTCTGGAGCTAGAGGGCTGGTGTTCCAGAAGCTCGGGAACAGTGGCTAGCTTGTGAGGTGCCATTGTACACTGTCCTGCACACACGTCGCAGCTGTGGGCTGCCGATTCCTCAGGAGTGCGGAGCCCGGTACTTACAGCTCCCTCACTCCCGGAAGAGAACAGGCTGTAGTTTTCCTTAAACTCCATGAGGTCGAACAGGACTCAGCCACGATGCAATGTTTCTTTAGTAACAAAATGGGTCCTTCTGTCAGGTGGCCGGCTTGGACCCTCAGAAACCTGGGCCGCCTTGTCCCCGGCTCCTGCAGTTGGGCCTGCCGGGATGGGGTGCCGCAGATGCAGGAGCAGTGCCTACCCCGTCAGGAGCCTCGAGGGCCCATCCTTGGTGGCAGCGGCCGTGGGACCGGCCCGGCCGTGGGGCGGGAGTGGGTGACGCCTGCATGAGCCCCCATGCCTGCGGCCCAGCCTGGGCTGTGAGCCCGCCCCCCGGCAGTCGAGACAGGAGACGGGCTTCAGTCCTCCCTCAGCAGCACCTACAGGACGTGCAACTGATGACTCAGCCAGCCTGTCCCCGAGGGAAGGGAAAGGCTTTTCCCATGAATTCCTTTGAGCTCTGCCATCTCCTGGGCCCACTTTACCAAGCCTTTGGTTTAGCGTCAGGTTCTCACAGTGGGGTCCAGAGCAACATGAAAAGCAGATGAGGCTGTGGGCACCTGTCCCCTGCTTCCCGTCTCTGACTATCTCAGGGCCACAGTGAAACGGGGCGTCCTGACAGTGGGCGTCAGGTTTTTGTACCAGGCCACCAAGCCGTAACATGTATTGATCCGTAAGTGTGTCGTTCCCTTTAACACCAGGTCTCATCAGACGTCGACAGAGCCTAACCACAGGCTGCATTGCAGTCCTGAGTCATGGCAGGGGTGTTCTCGGTAAAGTGTTGGTGTGAAACAAACCAATGAATCAGTTTTGTTTGAAAAGCTAGGGCTTTGGAAAGCAGGGGATTCTGGGAGGATTGTAGTGTCGTCCCCACATGAAAACAGACCGATGTGGAACCTGAAATCTATGTACAACTGACTTGTACCGTAGAAAATGGTTAAATGGCAAAGCTTATGATAATTCTCCACAGTTAAAAAAAAAGAAAGAAAAAACTATGGACATAATTTACAACAAAGCTAGGGGATAAGGTATCCTCATCAGCCCCAAACAGAGGCACAAACCAGCTATAGTCAAGACTCGTGTTAAACAATGGAGTGTCTGGGACTTCCCTGGCAGTCCAGTGGTTAGGACTCCGTGCTTCCACTGCAGGGGGCATGGGTTCTATCCCTGGTTGGGGAACTAAGATCCCCCAAGCCATGAGGTGCAGCCAAAAAAAATGAGGGGAGAGTGGGGACGGCATATGCAAGAAATTAACATGGTTATTCTGAGCGTCTTGGTATGTAATATGTGTGTGTGTGTGTGTGTGTGTGTGGGTACACACACACACACACACACATACATAGACACACACAGGTCACATACTAAGAATAACCATGTTGATGTATATATGTGTGGATGCATATATAATACGTTTGTGTGTGTGTATGTGTATATGTGTGTGTATACAGGTATAGCCTGCTTTTCCAGAGTTCGTCTTGCACCATTTTGCTTTTATGAAAGACCTACATTAATACCCACTTTCGGTAACAACTCCGAAGAGGATTTTTGCATTCATGAAGAAAGGCAGAGGGTGAAAACAGCATTCAGTGTTGGTTTTGCATGGGATGGAATGGGAGGCGTGGGGCCATTCACTCAGTCGCAGATTCGACATGCGTGCTCTTCCATGTCTGTGCTTTATCTTACAATAGAAAGGTTTTTTGTTTTTCTTTTTAGTTAGGGCTTTAGGTGGGTTAGTTTGCCTTCAAGGAGAGTATCGCAGGTTCTTGAATTGGGAGTTTCCTCCTTTTACCCAAATCACCATGTGGGGACTGCTGGCACCTATGGCCCAGGCACTGTGGCCGGGGACGTACCCTGCAGTAGCTAGTGTTCAATCCTGCGTTTGTTGTGTCTGTGCCCAGGACAGCAAAGCAGAGTCACCCAGCTGGTGACAAGTGACAGCAAGGCTCCTGCAGTTCTCCAGGAGAAAATCTGAGGCCAGTCCCTTTAAAGCTCTGCCCCTTGGCATGTGCTGCCCATGACCCGTCCTTTCTCTTCCTTCAAATAGAAGCAACTAGACTGTTTCCCACTCTGACCTTGCCTTTGGGTTTAAGAGCTCGGTCAGTCACCAGGACCCAGTTTGACAGCGACAGAAAGCCAGCTACGAGCCCTGGGAGATTCAAATTACTGAGCCTCTGTGCACCAGTCCCAAACCACTCTGTCAAAGTGAGACACAAGCACAGAGGGTTTCTGGGCTATTTCTGGGAACCAAAGAGGGGCAAGTGCCTGGCTGCAGAAAGGAGGACCCACTCAGCTCCACCTGTAGAGCCTTCCAGATTTCCACGGAATTTTCTGGCTGCCAAGTCCTTCTCCTTCCCTTTTGCAAGGCTGGTCTACACTCTAGATCTGAGTCCCTGGGGCTACAGCCAGAGAATGAAACCCAACCTCAGCCCCCAGGTGGAGCCCTTTCCAGCCGGCTGCAGGTGGTCACGGCTCCATCCAGGGAATTGCCTCCGCGGGCGCCACCTTGTGGCCACATGGGAGATGCGCATCCCGGTCACCGAGCTGGGGCGATGAGCGTGTCTTTGCTCCTTTCAGCTCTGCCCCTGGAGGCCGAGCCATGGGAGCAAAGTCTCCAGCCCACATGTCTACCGAAATCTTACCTTGGGAGGGGTGTGATGGTTAATTTTGTGTGGCAGTTTGGTTGGTCCATGGACCAGATATTTGGTCAAACTAAGGTTCTGAGTGTGTCTGTGAGGGTGTTTTGTTTTCTGTGGTTTTTTAAAAATAAATTTATCTTTGGCTGCATTGGGTCTTCGTTGCTGCACATGGGCTTTCTCTAGTTGCGGCGAGCAGGGGCTACTCTGTTGCAGTGCACAGGCTTCTCATTGTGGTGGCTTCTCTTGTTGCGGAGCACGGGCTCTAGGTGTGCAGGCTTCAGTGGTTGTGGCTCGTGGGCCCAGTAGTTGTGGCCCGTGGGCTCAGTAGTTGTGGCTTGCTGGCTCTAGAGCACAGGCTCAGTAGTGGTGGCGCACGGGCTTAGTTGCTCCACGACGTGTGGGATCTTCCTGGACCAGGGCTTGAACCCATGTCCCCTGCATTGGCGGGCCGATTCTCAACCACTGCGCCACCAGGGAAGTCCCTGTGTGGGTGTTTTTCGACGAGAGGAACATTTACTCAGTAGACTGAGTAAAGTAGATTGCCCTCCCTAATGTGGGTGGGCCTCATGCAATCAGTTGAAGGCCTGAATAGAACAAAAAGGTTGACCCTCCCCCAAGTAAGAGAGGCGTCCTCCTGCCCAATGGCCATGATATGGGATACTGGCTTTTCTCTCCTTTGGACTGGAGCACTGGCTCTTCCTGGGTCTCAGGCCTGCCGGCCTCCAGACGGGAGTTATGCCATCAGCTCTCCTGGGTCTCCAGCTTGCCCACTGCGGGTCTTGGGACTTGTCATCCTCCATCGTCACGTGAGCCAATTCCTTATAATAAGCCTCTTTCTGTATATATGCATCCTATTGGGTCTGTTTCTCTGTGGAACCTTGACCAATTACAGGAAGTTTGCTCCAAAGTCCTAGCATTGCAAAGCCTTTGACATTTACCAAAAACTGGTTAATCTGGAATCATCTCTCGTTGGTGTGTGTGTGTGTGTGTGTGTGTGTGTGTGTGTGTGTGTGTTTTGGTTTGGGTTTTTTCCATCAATAGGCTTATCCTTCTTTATGTAGAATAAAATTCCAGGCTGGGGACTTCCCTAGTGCTCCAGTGGTTAATAATCCCCCGTCCAATGCAGGGGATGTGGGTTTGATCACTGGTTGGGGAACTAAGATCCCACATAATGCAGGGCAGCTAAGCTGGTCCGCCACAGCTAGAGAGAAGCCCGTGCACCACAACGAAGAGCCTGCACGCCACAGTGAAGATTCCGCATGCTGCAACTAAGACCCGATGAATCCAAAATAAATAAAATAAATTTTTAAGAAAGGAAGCAGCCATTAAATTTTCTAAAAAAAGAAAAAAAGAAAAAAATTCCAGTCTGTCAGAGCTGGGCAAAGAGCTTAGCCTGATCTGGTTCCAGCTCTTGCAGCTTGAGAAGGTGCAGCCCAGGGGGGTGAGGGGGGGTGTTCCCCGAGCAGGTGGCCGTGAGTCCACCTCCTCAGCCCCGATTTCATCTGCCCACCGTGAAGGCTGAGCCGGGAGAGCTCCTGCATCCCTTCCATCTCGCTGTCGTTGCCGCTGATCATAAAGTGGGAAGAAGCAGGTTATCTCCTCGGGTCGTTGTCAAGACACAACAAGCAAAAGCGATACTAGCGCGTGTCACACACACTTGGAAGCGCTCTGCGAACGCGGGGAGTGCGGTACAGCCGGGGCGCACCAAGGACTTGGGAGCACAGCCAGGCCCAGGTCCGAGGAGACACCAGGGCCTGCCCGTCCCCGCCGTGCCTGCGCGGGAGGGTCCTCTGGAAGAACGATCTCGGCATCAGCGGAAGGCAAGCCACCCCAGGGGAGATCAGAAAGGGCAAACAGTAAGAAAGCATTGTGGCGCTCTTTCTTCCCTCTTCTGGGGAGGAAATGATTAAATGTCCCTCTGCTCAGGCGCCCGTGAGAACCGGAGGACAGACGGCTTGCTGCTGGAGCCAGGGGCTTGGTAGGGGGGGGAGGGTAGGTGGCTGCCCGGGAGAGCTGCTCCCAGGTCTTCCAGCACCTTCTCTCTGCCCTCACGCTGGCCTCCGGCTGGCCTCACTCATCGCGCTCCGTGTGGGGCGCTCAGCACTAGACGTCGGGGCGGGG